GACAGCGTCAGCATCTGAAGAGGGCGTTGCTAAATGGCTGGCCAATAAAATGTCCCTTGAGGGACAGTGCCCCGCCCACTTAGTTATAAATAGCAGCTGCCACCTGTCAATCATTTGACATGTCAGCACCCTCCTAGATGGGACGCTTTTTAAAAGAAATGAAAACTTTTATTCAGCAAGAGTGCATTAAATTGATCGAAAGTGAAGTAAAGACATTAATAATGTTACAAAAGCTTTCTATTTGAAATAAATGCTGTTCTTTGAAAAAAAAATGTGAAACTGTTTTCAACATTGATAATAACTAGAAATGTTTCTTGAGCAGCAAATCAGCATATTATAATGATTTCTGAAGATCATGTGACACTGAAGACTGGAGTAATGATGCTGAAAATACAGATTTGATCACAGAAATAAATTACATTTTAACATATATTCATAGAAAAAAACCGCTAGTTTGAATTCTAATAATATTTCACAATTTTGTATTGTACTTTTGATCAAATAAATGCAGCCTTGGTGAGAAAAAGAGACTCTTTCAAAGAATTGTGTAGACTCCATTATATAGAATACAGAATTACTCATATCATGAGATGAGATTTTGGGGTTGAACATCAACATATAAACACACTCACAGTTTTGTAAGTGTTTCTGTTTAGTCTCTTATTAGAGCAAGCAATCAGACGTCTACAGATCAAACTAAACAGCCGAGTATGAAAACTACTAACAAGAGACTGTCATTATCTCATTATTAGCATGAATAGAACGCCTGATTACAAGAATTATCCATTTAATCTCAGACCCCATGGAGGGAGGAGATGTGTGGCTGTAATAAGACCCTCGCTCGTGAATTAATCAAACTCATCACCTCCGCTGTTGTCATTCGGTTTTACACGGTCCCCTTCATCATGAATATCAAGAAATATTTCTAACAAACTCTCCATAATAGAGCGCAGCAGCAGCAGCAGGGCTCTGGAAGTAAAAGTCCCATTTGTTTCTTCCACAGAGAAAGTGATTCAGCAATAACATATAAACCGCTCGAGACAGAGATAACATGAGGACCAAAACTGAAGACTGAGAACTACACACTACACTACCCATAATCCTCAAGCAGGATCCACCAATCAGAGAAGCTGTCACTCTGGGAATCTTGACAGCAGAGTAACAGTGATCGTTCAGTCTCATAAAACATTGCAAAGGACATAATCAAATGAGTCTCTACATCATCAATCTATACCCTTGTCAAGTTATTTCTTTTCGTGCACAATTTCCCCACTTGAAAGAGACACATTATCAACGGAGGCCTTAACTGGATTCCACTCTTCTTTTATGTGCATCAATTATGGTGAAAGGTGACAATTTTGTAGCAGAAAGGTGAAAAACCTTTAAACAGAAACAATATGGAGCTTATAATATGACAAAACTAATTGAATTTGTATTGTGTAAATTTGAATTATTTCAAGTGTCATTTAACAAAACTGAATATTATGTGGCATTTAACATAGTTCTGAATTAGATTTTTTTGAACTTGAATATTAAACATTTGAAATTTAACACAACTGAATATGTTTATTTATAGACATGTATTTTCAAACAGCAATTTTTTTTTTTTTTTTTTTCTGAAATCTTAGAATGCAAATATCCAGTTTTTAAAAATACAGCTTCAAGTTTTCAAGATGAAGAGGAAATTCGAAACATCAAATTCAATGCTCTAAAATTCAATACACAGAAATTCAGATTGTACAGAAAGCAGGTCAGAGGTAATCCACAGGGAAGAGTAGATGATCTACTAGTTTTTAGTAGTTTTCTGGCGTGAACGTGCGGTTTAAGATCTAACTGATCATGAAACGCCCAGAGTTAGTGATTCTTAAACATTTATGGTTTATATACTTATATGTTAGGTTAGCATTCTCAGCATGTGAAACATTTGTCTAAGCCAGTGGTTCTCAACCTTTTTTACTCCAAGGCCCCCCTCCTCCCCAAATCAATACATACTTTGCAAAAATGCATGTATTCACTTCAATCAGATGTCCATCACAGTTCTCTGGGTGAAAGGACACGTCAGTCCAGTTTGTCCCTTTAACATGCGGTGATGCACTGTGAAATCTCGTCTCATCCACAGCAGTAATACTACAAGATCATTGGCTCAAAGTGTCTGAATAGCATGCATCACACACACACAAGCACACACATGAACAACTGAACACACACACATCATCTCACTGTCCTGCTCTCTATGCTGGATCTGAGGGGACAGACATAAATTAGCATATTTATAGTCCTTTCAGCACTCTGCTCTCCTGAGTGGCTGCTGTGTGGCTCCGGTGATGAATATTCATGTGCATGCGGAGGTTAATTTGGGCAGAATGTCTGCTGCTCTTTCCTGTGAAATAGCACAGATCTTCAGGTAACGACAACCTCCCCACTGAATACACAGATGGACACACACGCACATCATGGGATACCTGTGCCAGTTTTACTTTCACCTCAACCTACAACAACAATATAAAAAATGAGCCATACCAGTTTCTCTGTAGATGTTCAATGGTCCGCTTACATTTCTGTTTATAGACATTAAGTGTGTCATTTCTGAGAGCAGCATAATGACTGTTTCCAAACACGTTTCCACTTTTCCGTCCCATTACCTGCCATTGGTTTTGTCAGGTTACTTGAACAAACTGAGCTAGTCAACTGATCTGAGCGAAATATAGATGAAAATTTAGTCTAAAATGTTTTGTAAAACCACATTTGGACATCACATTACATTTGTAGGGTAAACGCTAATGCCTAGTCCTGATGCATTTCGAAAGCAAAGCATATGGCACTCCACTCTGATTATTAGCCATCACTGAAGGAATGATGAACAGCACAATCATTTTTAGATGTCTCAAAAACCCCACCCAGCACAGACCCACCTTTCAGAGGCTCCTCCCCAAAGCCCCCACCCCTCACAGACCACACCCACCAGAGAACCCATCCCATCAATGACTCCACCTACTGCTGACTCCACCCTTCACATAGTCACTTTTCATAGATTCAACCCACCACAGGCCCCACCTTTTAAAGGCTCCTCCCTAAAGGCTCCACAACTCACAGACTACACCTAAGCTCCATGCATCATATAAATTCACATTTAAATTTAAGACTCAACCCATCACAGGTGCTACCTTTCAAAGACTCTACCCTAACAGAACACATCCACCAGATGCCCCACCATTCATGACTGGCTCCACCCACCACAGGCTTCATCTTTCAAAAGCTCCTCCCTCCAAAGAGCCAATCCTACTTGCTCCATCTTTCATAATCCACACCTCTCAAAGACAGCACCGTAACATAACACATCCACCAGATGTCCCACCCTTTACAGGCCCATCTACGACTGGCCCCACCCCTTCACAAACTCAACCTCTCAGACACCACCCTCCACAGGCCCCACCTATGAAAGACTCCTCCACAGAAGACCAAGTCCAACAGACTCCACCCCCAGACCCCATATTTCGGAGACTACACCCACAAGAATCCACCCCCAAAAGATCTTAGGATCCCCCTCTAAAGAGCCCATGCCACAAGCCCCACCCCTCACCAACCACACCTCACCTACCAAAAGAGACCACCTTCCATCCCTCAACGACCTCACCCACCACAATTTCCATCCCTCATATAAATTCACCTCACACACAACAGGTCCTACCTCTTAAAGGCTCCTCAGCAAAGACTCCACCCTAACAGAACAAATTCACCAGATACCCCACCCTTTATAGACTACTGGCTCCACCCTTTCACAAGCTCCACCTCTCACAAACCTCATCCTAAAAAGGCTCCTCCCTCTAAAGGGCCAATCCCACTTGCTCCACCTATCATAATCAACACCTCTCAAAGATTCCACCCTAGCAGAACACATCCACCAGATGCCCCACCCTTCATAGACCCCACCTACGACTGACTCCACCCCTTCACAAGCTCAACCTCTCAGACTCCACCCATCATAGGCTCCACCCATCAAAGGCTCCTCCCTCCAAAGAGCCCATGCCACAGTCTCCAGCTCTTCATAAACTCCACCCACCATATACCCCACCCATCAAAGGCTCCTCCCTCCAAACAGCCCATCCCACAGGCCCCACCCCTCACTGTCAGGCTTACTTGATGTTATCAAGGCAACCAGTGTCTGGCTTCAGGATGGCGGTGTGGTGGAACATCTTGTAGAGAGCGATTCCCAGGAAGATCACATTCAGCTGGGAAGAACGGAAGCACATGATTAGTTGAGGATTCACACGTGAGGAGAACAGAGGGCTGTTTCATAAAACAAGTTTACCAAACAAGCCAGGCTTATTTCAATTATTCTGACTTATTTTGAACCAAATCAACTGACAATAAGTCAGACTAACTGAACTAAACCTGGCTTATTTGGTAAACTTGTTTTATGAAACAGGCACCAGGAAAAAGATCTTAGGATCCCCCTCTAAAGAGCCCATGCCACAAGCCCCACCCCTCACCAACCACACCTCACCTACCAAAAGAGACCACCTTCCATCCCTCAACGACCTCACCCACCACAATTTCCATCCCTCATATAAATTCACCTCACACACAACAGGTCCTACCTCTTAAAGGCTCCTCAGCAAAGACTCCACCCTAACAGAACAAATTCACCAGATACCCCACCCTTTATAGACTACTGGCTCCACCCTTTCACAAGCTCCACCTCTCACAAACCTCATCCTAAAAAGGCTCCTCCCTCTAAAGGGCCAATCCCACTTGCTCCACCTATCATAATCAACACCTCTCAAAGATTCCACCCTAGCAGAACACATCCACCAGATGCCCCACCCTTCATAGACCCCACCTACGACTGACTCCACCCCTTCACAAGCTCAACCTCTCAGACTCCACCCATCATAGGCTCCACCCATCAAAGGCTCCTCCCTCCAAAGAGCCCATGCCACAGTCTCCAGCTCTTCATAAACTCCACCCACCATATACCCCACCCATCAAAGGCTCCTCCCTCCAAACAGCCCATCCCACAGGCCCCACCCCTCACTGTCAGGCTTACTTGATGTTATCAAGGCAACCAGTGTCTGGCTTCAGGATGGCGGTGTGGTGGAACATCTTGTAGAGAGCGATTCCCAGGAAGATCACATTCAGCTGGGAAGAACGGAAGCACATGATTAGTTGAGGATTCACACGTGAGGAGAACAGAGGGCTGTTTCATAAAACAAGTTTACCAAACAAGCCAGGCTTATTTCAATTATTCTGACTTATTTTGAACCAAATCAACTGACAATAAGTCAGACTAACTGAACTAAACCTGGCTTATTTGGTAAACTTGTTTTATGAAACAGGCCCCAGGAGTGTTTTAAATCAGAGCTGGTTACCATGATTATGAGGGTGGCGGGGCCTATAAAACTCCAGATGAAATAAGTATCCAACCGCAACCAGCAACTGAAAATGAGAGAAAAACATATCACTCAAGCATCAAATCTACACACACACAGAGAGGAAGTAATACTGCAGGTTGTTTCCAAGGTTCTTGTGTCTTTTGGCTGATACATGAGAGTTCTTTCAATTATTCAGACTTTAATTTCCGCAACATTAGACTAAACGTCATCCCTCCTGCGACTACACACACACACACACACACACACACACACACACACACAGATTTCAGCAAGACTTTGCGTGAGGACCAGTGTTAATTTCATTGACGAATACTTTTTCATGATTTTCGTCAATAACATTTATTCACTGACGAAAACGAGACGATAACGAAATAAAAACTCTTTTTGAATGACAAAAACAATGACGAAAATCCATTGACATTTTTGTCAACGAATATAAACGAGACGAAAATATTAGGGAGGGACGACTGGACATTATTCATGTAAGATCACCAGATTACATCTTCAGTGAATGTAAACTGCTGGGAGAATATCGGATGTGTGTAGCAGTATATTGAATCTGTGTGCATTCATTTTTAAAGGGACAGCAGATTAATTTAGTTTCTGTTGTCTGTGTCCTTGTTGTTAACAAATCAACAAAAGAAAGAGAAAATCACTCACTGCTCTTGAATGAATCACTTTAGTAGCACTAATAAGGATTAATCTAATTCTAATTTAGATAAATAAATATGTCTGCTTGAAAGAATGAAGGATGTTGTATGCAAGTTGTTATAAAGAATGCAAATTATATAACCATTGGTATTTCATTTGGTATTTCAAAAGAGGACCATGTTCTTGTTTCTTTATGAGAAGTAGTTTTATTTCATTTTGAGATAAAGACATGTTATGTGTCAAAGCAGTTAAATCTGTGTCTACATTGCATGTTCAAATCATTCATATTACCAGATGCTTTCTCCAGGAATACACAATGAGTTTGGAAATTTTAGAGAAATGCTTAATAAATGCATTACACTGTAACTAAATCCATTCGATTTTAGTTGACTAAATCTACTGACGACTAAAACTAGACTAAGACTAAAACAATTCAGATGATCAAAATGTGAATAAAACTAAATGGAATTTTAGTCCAAACACTGCAAAAAAAAAGAAAAAAAGAAAAAAAAAAAGAAGAAACTTATCTTACTTATTATTTTTGTCTTGTTTCTAGTCAAAATATCTAAAAATTCTTAAATTAAGATGCATTTACTAGATAAGCAAAATTACGTAAGATATTTAGTCTTGTTTCCAGGAGGGAAAAAACTAAATTAAGTACATTTTGCTTAAAACAAGTAAAATTATCTGCCCGTGGGCTAAGTAAAATATTCTAAAAACAAGAGTATTTTACTTACCCTACTGGCAGATAATTGTACTTATTTTAAGCAAAATGTACTTAATTTAGTTTTTTCCCTCCTGGAAACAAGACTAAAATAATAAGATAAGACTTGTTTTGCAGTGAAGACTGTGACTAAAATTAAATAAAAAATTTCTGTCAAGATGAACACTGATGAACACTCAGATTTGTGTGTGTTTGTGTGTGTGTGTGTGTGTGTGTGCATGCGCATGCGTATGAGTGTGAGTGTGTGTGTGTGTGTG